GCTGTGAGGGGGATTGGGGAGAGCGATCATTGGTTGGGACAGCTGTCGTGTCTGCTGGCAATTGGCTGAACAGGTTGCTAGAATCGCTGTAACAGGTACTGGCTGGCTTTGCGGCTGGGGTCTTAGTTCTGGCCTGGTCCGGGTTGGAGCCATCTTCTTGAGGCGAGACCTGCCCTGCCCTCCAGTACCTCTGACCTTACAATGATGAAATGAAATAATGAGATGAGATGAGATGTTGAGATGAGATGAGATGAAGTGATGAAATGAAATGAATTGATGAAATGAGATGACAGGTGAAATTAAATGATGAAATTAAATGATGAAATGAGATGAGATGTGTTGAAATGATGAAATGAAATGAAATGAAGAAATGAAATAAAATGAAATGATGAAATGAGATGAAATGATGAGATGAGATGAGATGAAATGATGAAATGAGATGTGATGAGATGAGACTATGAAATGAAATGAGATGAAATGTTGAAATGAGGTGAAATGAGATGAGATGAAATGATGAAGTGAAATGAAGAAATGGAACGAAATGAAATCAGATGAACTGTTGAATTGAGATGAAATGAGATGAAATGATGAGATGAGATGAGATAAAATGAAATGATGAGATGAGATGAAATAATGAGATGAGGTGAAACGAAATGATGAGATGAGATGAGATAAAATGATGAAATGAAAGGAGATGAAATGAGATGAAATGATTAGACGAGAAAAGATGAGATGAGATGAAATTAAATGAGATGAGATGAGATGAAATGAGATGAAGAAATGAAATGAAATGATGAAATAAAATGAAATGATGAGATGAAATGGGATGAGATGAGATGAGAGGAAATGATGAAATGAAGAAATGAACTGAAATGAAGAAATGAAATTATGAAATAAAATGAAATAATGAAATGAGATTAAATGAGATGAGACAAGATGAGATGAAATGAAATGAGATGAAATGTTGAAATGAATGAAATGATGAGATGAAATGAAATGATGAAATGAAATGATGACATGAGATGAAATGATGAAATGAGATGAGATGATGAAATGAAGAAATGAAGTGAAAAGAAATGAAATGAAATGATGAAATAAAATGAAAGGATGAGATGAAATGAGATGAGATTAGATGATGAAATGAGGGGATGATGAGATGAAATGATTAAAATGATGAAGTGAAATGAAGAAATGAAATGGAATGAAATGATGAAATAAAATGCGATGAAATGTTGAAATGAGATGAAATGATGAGATGGAATGAAATGATGAAATGAAATGAAATGATGAAATGAAATGAGATGAAATGATGAGATGAGATGAGGTGAGATGAAATAAAATGATGAAATTATGAAATGAAAAAAAATGAAATGAAGAAATGAAATGAGAAGAGATGAGATGAAATGATGAAATGAAATGAGATGAGATGAGATGAGATGTTGAGATGAGATGAAATGATGAAATGAATTGATGAAATGAAACAAGATGAAATGATGAAATGAGATGAGATGATGAGATCAGATGCATTGAAATGATGAAATGAAATGAAATAAAATGAAATGATGAAATGAGATGAAATGATGAGATGAGACTATGAAATGAGATGAAATGTTGAAATGAGTGAAATGAGATGAGATGAGATGAAATGAAGAAATGGAATGAAATGAGATGAAATGAGATGAAATGATGAGATAAGATGAGAAAATGAAATGAGATGAGATGATGAGATGAAATGATGAAATGAGATATGAGATGAGATAAAATGATGATATGATGAAATGATGAAATGAAATGATAAAATGAAAGGAGATGAAATGATGAGATGAGAAAAGATGAGATAAAATGATGAAATGAAAAGATGAAATGAAATGATGAAATGAGATGAAGGAATGAGATGAAATGGGATGAGATGAGATGAAATGAAATGAGATAAGATGAGATTAGGAGATGAGATGAGAGGAAATGATGAAATGAAATGAGATGAAATGAAGAAATGAAATGAAGACATGAAATGAAATAAAATGAAATGAAATGATGAAAGGATGAGATGAGATGATGAAATGAGATGAGATGATGAGATAAAATGAAATGGAATGAAATGATGAAATGTGATGAAATGTTGAGATGAGATGAAATGAAATGAAATGAGATGAGATGAGATGATGAGATGAGATGAAATGATGAAATAATGAAATGAAATGATGAAATAAAATGAAATGAGATCAAATGTTAACATGAGATGAGATGAAATGATGAAATGAGATGAGATGAAATGAGATGAGATGAGATAAGAAATGATGAAATGAGCAAAATGTTGAAATGAGATGAAATGACATGAGATCAGATAAAATTATGAAATTATGAAGAAAAGAAATGAGATGAAGAAATGAAATGAAATGATGAGAAGAGATGAGATGAAATGATGAAATGAGATGAGATGAGATGTTGAGATGAGATGAAATGATGAAATGAATTGATGAGATGAGATGAGAGGTGAAACTAAATGATGAAATTATATGATGAAATGAGATGAGATGCATTGAAATGATGAAAGGAAATGAAGAAATGAAATAAAATGAAATGATGAGATGAGATAAAATGATGAAATGAGAGATGAGATGAAATGATGAAATGGGATGAGATGAGATGAGATTAGGAGATGAGATGAGATGAGAGGAAATGAAATGAAATGAAATGATGAAATGAAATTAAATGATGAGATGAGACAAGATGAGATGAGATGAATTGAAGAAATGAAATGGAATGAAATGATGAAATGAGGTGAAATGTTTAAATGAGGTGAAATGATGAGATGAGATGAGATGAAATATGAGATGAAATGATGAGATGATGAAATGAGATGAAGTGATGAAATGAAGAAATGAGCTGAAATGAAGAAATGAAAGGAAATGATGAAAGGATGAGAGGAGATGAGATGAGATGAGATGATGAGATGAAATGAAATGGAATGAAATGATGAAATGTTGAAATGAGATGAGATGAAATGAAATGAGATGAGATGAGATGAAATGATGAATCCCTTCAATATTTTGTTACCCTTATTGATATTGCTCAGGCGTCACTATTTTTTTTTCTGGGTGTTCTGGGGTTTATTGGGGGGTAGGAGGCCCAGCTCCACTATTTTTTAAGTGAGATGACATAACCAATAGATAATATTCCAAGTTAGGGTACACATTTAATAGAGTAGTGGATTTAATTTTTCTTTTCTTTTTTTTTTTTTTTGAGTTGGAGTCTCACTCTGTCACCCAGACTGGAGTGCAGTGGCCGCTCCTGGTCACCACAGCCTCGACCTGCTGAGCTCTGGCGATCCTTCCGCCTCAGCCTTCCGAGTAGCCGGAATTACAGGCATGCGCTACCACGCCCGGCTGATTTTTTGATTTATTGTAGAGATGAGGTCTCGCTGCCCAGGTGGGTCTCGAACCCGCAGACTCAGGCAATCCACTCACCTCAGCCTCCTAAGGTGCGGGGTTACAGTCTGAGCCACTGAGCCCGGCTTTAATTTTTATTTTCATTAACTTTTCTTAGCATGAACTATCAAATTTACTTGATGTCTTCAGCAGTTGCCTGTCTCCCTTTCTGGTTTCTAATTGGTAATTCAAAGACTTTCTCCTTATGCATCAGTTGTATTATTTTTTCCTAAATGTATAATATGTATGTGCAGCTTACATGCTGTCTTTTTTCTCAGACAACTTCAGAATATTTTTCTGAAGAATATATTTTCTATTATTTACAGAAGATCTAAGGTGGCATTCTGGTCCATTTTCCAAATAAATTATTAAAATATTACATAGAACTAGTTTCCTTTCCTAATTGCTAAGACATCTCATTAGTTTTACTCTTATATCCATAGCAGTACCCATCTTCCTCAACTTTTGTGTACTGTCTCTAAACTGGTCCTTAATCCATGATGTAATAGTTCCTTTTAAGGATGTTAACTCAATTTTTAATAGTGTTTAAGTGTAAACTACCAGATAAAATCCTGAGAGTCTAAATAGACAGTATCTAATAGTTTTTCCTCCTAAAGAGCCTTCCTTTGTAGATGTTAGTACTATTTAAGTATCTAATAATCCCGTCTTCTTATTTATGGAAATAACTAGCTGGCCAGGTATACAGGTGAAACAGGTATGGAATCATTCTTTAAGATGCCAGTCTTGTTGACAGTCCACAAGTAGAGTGACTTAGTTCTACAGTTACATTGTTGAATTTCTTCAGTACTCTTTAAGTGATATCTGTAAATTGAATGTTGTGGGACTTCTTGTACCAAACAGTTATATCCTTTGTTTGTTTGTTTGTTTTAAGAGAATGATAATTTCTTTATCATCTTCTTTAAAGGTGGAAAATTCATTTAATATTTTAACTTTCTTCACATCATGAAGAAAAAATTTTAATCATTTTAATCATCTCCTATACAGGGTATGGTACATACAGCCAATTTAATAGACCTTGGTGAGTGAATGAATGAATGAATGAGTGGGAGATATTCAAATATTTCATCTTCTTTTTTGTTTTGTTTTGTTTTTGAGTTGAGGGTTCATTCTGTCACCCAGGCTGGAGTGCAGTGGCATGATCATGGCTCATTGCAACTTCAAATTCCAAGCAATCCTCCCGTCTCAGCCTCCCAATTAGCTGGGACTACAGGTGGGCACACCATACTTGGCTAATTTTTAAAATGTTTTTGTAGAGAGGTGGTCTCGCTGTTTTGCCTAGGCTGGTCTTGAACTCCTAGGCTCAGCAATCCTCCTGCCTCAGCCTCCCAAAATGCTGGGGTTACAGTTATGAGCCTCTGTGCCCAGCAGGTTTTATCTTCTGAAAGTCATTTAAGCCAGACCCTGTAAAATTTGAAACTGACATATAGTCTCCAGAAATAGGTGCTGTTTCCCAGGTATAGGATATATGATTCTTGAAAGATACAAGGTAGTGTTCTGTATTTGTCTTTGCCATTGGCTAGAAATGTAGCATTTTCCTTCAAATGTTTATAGGAAAATGAAGAATTAGACTGGAATTTATTGAAACCAGATATTTATGCAACAATCATGGACTTCTTTGCATCTGGCTTACCCCTTGTTACTGAGGAAACAACTTCAGGAGAAGCAGGTAACATACTATGTTGAGTATGTCTTGTTTTTTAGATTTTGTTTCATGCTTTTATTTCAGAAGTCATAGGTATTCAATTTTTGTTCTTTAATATCTGAAAGCAATTCCAGAGGGAACAAAACTTCATATATGTAATTTTATCTATTATTTTTGAAAACTTATGTATAAATTGAATTTATTATGCAATACTAAAATTTTTAATTATAAAAATTTTTAAACATACAGAAAATAATGTATTGCTCACCATTTTGCCCTCTGTGCAGACTTAACAAATAACTTTTTGCCGTGGTTGCTTTAGACTCATTTCAAATAAAATATCAGAGATACATACGGTGATAGATTTTAAAGCATTAAAAAATTTAAAGATACAGCTAAAACCCCTTCACTCCTACTCTTTCTATTTCCAAAGAAATGTGTACACTTGGTTTGTTTTTATATTTTTGCAACACACATAAGTCTGTGCAGGAAATATATAGTATAAACTTTTGTTCTTAAATTTTAACTAACTTGTGTTATACTGAAATTTGCCTTTTTTTTTTTTAACTAAGTATAATACTTTTGAAACATATTCATTTAAAAAGATATATAAGGACGGGTACAGTGGCTCAAGCCTGTAATCCCAGCACTTTGGGAGGCCAAGGTGAGGGAATTACTTGAGTCCATGGGTTCAAGAACAGCCTAGGCAACTTGGCAAGACCTTAACTCTAAAATAAATCAAAAAATTAGCCGGGCATGGTAGTGCATGCCTGTAGTTCCAGCTACTTGGAAGGCTGAGGTGGAAGAATCATCTGAGTCCAGCAGGTTGAGGCTGCAGTGGCTGTGAGCATGCCATTACACTCCACCTGGGTGACAGAGTGAGATTTCAGTGCAAAAAATATATAAATAGACTCTGGGTATTAATCCTTTGTTAGGTATATTCATAGCAAATGACATCTCCCTAACCATGACTTAACTTTTCACTTTGTCTTTTGTCATAAACAGAAAACTTTCACTTTACTGTAGTCACACTTGTTTATCTTTTCTTTTGTGATTTGTGCTTTTTGTTCCTTGTTTTGTAAAGTTATTTCATGTAAAGCACAGGGAGTGCAATATGTATTCACTGTTGCTATTTGTTCTTTTTTTTTTTTTTTTGAGTTGGAGTCTCACTCTGTTGCCCAGACTGGAGTGCAGTGGACGCTCCCGGGCACCGCAGCCTCGACCTGCTAGGCTCCAGCGATCCTTCCGCCTCAGCCTTCCAAGTAGCCAGAATTACAGGCATGTAATTCCGCCTGGGGTGGTCTCAAACCCTCAGGCTTAGACAGTCCACTTGCCTAGGCCTCCCAAGGTGCTGTGATTATAGGCTGAGCCACCAAGCCTGGCCATGTGTGTCTTTTTCTAAGATTTTTTCCGTTTGGTCTTCCCCTGCTTCCTGTTCCAATAACATGTATAGTTTAAATTACAGTACTTTTATAACAATTAGTATACAATATGTGCTAGAAAAAGTTCCTCTTTTTTTTTTTTTCTCTCTGGTGATCTAATTCCTTCTTTATTTTCTTGAGTTGGAGTCTCACTCTGTTGGCCAGGCTGGAGTGCAGTGGCATGCTCATGGCCACCACAGCCTTGACCTGCTGGGTTCAGGTGATCCTTCCAGCTCAGCCTTCCAAGCAGCTAGAACTACAGGCTCAAGCCATAACGCCTGGCTAACTTTTTGATTTATTGTAGAGGTGAGGGTCTCACCAAGTTGCCCAATCTGGTCTTGAACCCCTGGACTCAGACAGTCCTCTCGCCTCTGCCTCTCAAAGTACTGGATTACAGGCATGAGCCACCATGCTCAGTGGTGTCGTCCCTTTATTCTTGTAAATTTTATGATCATCCTGTAAAGTCTGAAAATCCTTGTTAAGATTTTGGTTGAAATTGCATTGAATTTATAGATTAAATTTGAGAATTAACATTTCTTCAGCATCCAGAAGATCTTTCCATTTATTTGGAACTTAAGTCCCAAATGTCTTTTCTTGGTATGAACTCACATATTTTTGTTAGTTCTAGGTACTATATAGGTTTTTTTATTGTTATGAATGTTAATTATTTTGTTTAATAAGCACTTAGATATACTGATTACTATATTTGAGGCATGGATCTAAGCACTTTTTAAATATGAACTCATTTAAATCTTAAAATAAGCCGGGCTCAGTGTCAGCCTGTAATCCCACGCTTTGGGAGGCTGAGGTGAAATGGATTGCTTGAGCCCGCGGGTTCGAGACCCACCTGGGCAACTTGGCGAGACCTCATCTCTACAATAAATTAAAAAATTAGCCGGACGTGGTAGCGTGCACCTGTAGTTCCAGCTACTTGGAAGGCTGAGGCAGAAGGATCGCCGGAGCCCAGCAGGTCAAGGCTGCGGGGCCGGGAGCGGCCACTACACTCCAGTCTGGGCAACAGAGTGAGACTCCAACTCAATAAATAAATAAATAAGTAAATAAGTAAATCTTAAAATAACCTTGTCAGGTTGGTATTGCTATCCCATTTCACACATGAGAAAACTGAGGCACAGAGAAGTTGAGTAATTTGCTTAAAGTCATGTAGCTAGTAGCTAACAGAGATACGAATTTTGGGCATTCTGGCTCCAGGGTTCATGCTCTTAACATAACCATTACACCAATTGGTCAACTTAAATAAGCTGTAAAAATTGAATGTTTATTTGTACATACATAGACTTATACACTTCTATAGTTTGGATGTTTCTTCCCTCCAAATCTCAGGCTGGAATTTTATCTCCAGTGTTGGAGGTGGGGCCTAATGCAGAGGTGTTTGGGTTGTGGGGTTAGTGAGTTCTCATTCTGTTAATTCCTATGAAAGCTGATTGTTAAAAAGAGCCTGGCACCCCCCACCCCATTCCTCCCTCTCTGTGGTCTCTGCACAGGCACACTCCCTTTTCCCTCGGAAGCAACTAGAGGCCCTTAACTGATGACAAATCTTGAATTTTTCCAGACATCAGAATAGAATTATGAACCTAATAAACCTTTTTTCTTTGTTAATTATCCAGCCTCAGTTAATTCTTTTATAGCAACATTAAATGGACCAACACATGCACAATTGTTTGTAATTGTCTTTAGATGATAGTTATGCTTCTTGATATATACTCTAAAAGAGTTGGAAATAAGCTGGACATGGTGGCTCATGCCTGTAATCCCAGCACTTTGGGAGGCAGAAACAAGAGAATTGCTTGAGCCCAGGGGTTTAAGAGCCTGTGCAACTTGGCGAGACCTCATCTCCACAGTAAATCAAAAAATTAGCCGTGCGTGGTGGCATGAGCCTATAGTTCCAGCTACTTGGAAGGCTGAAGCAGAAGGATCACCTGAGCCCAGCAGTTCAAGGCTTCCATGACTCAGCATGCCACTGCACTTCAGCCTGGGCAGCAGAGTGAGATTCCATCTCAAAAAAAAAAAAAGTTGTAATTGTGCACAAGAACCTGGAAGCATGATTATTGGAATATTTTAAAACTATACCAGCAGTTAAAAGGAATGAATTTGAACTGGTATGGTGGCTTATACCTGTAATCCCAGCATTTTGGGAGGGAATATAAGAGGAGTGCTTGAACCCAGGAGTTTGAAACCAGCCTAGGCAACATAGCGAGACCTCATCTCTACAAAAATAAAAAAATCAGCCATGCATGGTGGCATGCACCTGTAATCCCAGCTACTTGGGAGGCTGAGGCAGTTGAGTCACCTGAGCCTAGATGATCATGGCAGCGGTAAACCATGATTATGCCACTGCCCTCCAGACAGCAACAGAGTGAGACCTTGACTCAAAAAAAACAGGAATGTACTAGATTAAGAGATATCAGCATGAAAAGATACAAAGAAAAATATTAAGTAAAACAAAATTGAACTATATGTACATTTACAAATGTAATTTATGCAAATTTTTCCTATGTAAAATGATTACAGTTTTTTTTAGGGTAATTTGACTATATCTACCAACATTAAAAATACACAAGTCTGTTTACCAAAATAATTCACACTAGAAATTTATTTGCAAAATAAGATATATATTTGGCCAGACATGGTGGCTCACACCTACAATCCCAGCACTTTAGGAGGTCGAGATGGGAGGTTTGCCTGAGCCCATGAGTTCGAGACCAGCCCAGGCAACTTGGCGAGACCTCACCTCTACAATAAATCAAAAAATTAGCCGGGCGTGCTGGTGCATGCCACCAGCTACTTGAAAGACTGAGGTGGAAGGATCGCCTGAGCCCATCAAGTCAAGGCTGCGGGTAGCTGTGAGTATGCCCCTGCACTCCAGCCTGGGCTACAGAGTGAGACTCCAACTCAAATATTTATACAAGCAAATATATTGCAGGATTGTTAGATATAGTGGCAAACTGTAAACAACTGAAGTAATCAAGAAATTGGCCAATAGCAAATTTATTTAAAAGTTAGTGTGTACCTATTAAATATTGAGGCATAGTTGTATATATATGCTGATATGGAAGAACCTTCAAGCTACATTATATAGAAAAAAGCAAGGTATGGAATGGTGTGTATGGTATGGAATGGTGTGTATAGTATGATCTGATTGTGTAAATTTACAAATGTAAATGTAAGTGTGCTAGAAAGATAAATGCTAAACTCATGAGAGTGGTTGTCTATGGAAGAGAATAGAATTTAGACTTGTTGATCTAAGATAAATTTAGATTTTGGAGGGGGGTTTGAGTCAGAGTCTCACTCTGTTGCCCAGGCTGGAGTGCAGTAGCACACTCACGATGATCCTTCTGCCTCAGCCTTCTATATAGCTGGAACCACAGGCATGTGCCACCAAGCCCAGCAATTTTTTTGATTTATTGGAGATGAGGTCTCACCATGTTGCTCAGGCTAGTCTCGAACCTGTGGGCTCAGGCTGTCCTCTTACCTCAGCCTCCCAATGTGCTGGAATTACAGGCATGAGCCACTGTGCCTGGAAAATTTAGCTTTCTAATGTTCTTTCTTTTAAAAAGACTCAAAGTTAATATAATTTAATATTAATAGTTGTTATTTATGGGGTTCTCAGGATCTATTATTTGTTATAATGTAATTTGAAATCTCTGCATTTTCAGTTTTCCCAAAGGCCAACTTATTGCTCAGAAGATTTGTAGAACATTTTAGAAACTTCCAGAAGGCTTACATGACAGTATGATTGTCTTTTTGAAAACTACCAAGTTGAGAACTAAAGATGTAATTTAACTTAAAAAGTAGGTATATCTTTTTGTCTCAAAGTTTCCATCAAAATTCAGACAGACCAGGCTCGGTGGCTCAAGCCTGTAATCCCAGCACTTGGAGAGATGGAAGCGAGAGGGTTACCTAAGCTCAGGGCTTGGAGACCAGCCTGGGCAACTTAGCGAGACCTTGTCTTTACTGTAAATCAAAATTAGCCATGTGTGGTGGTGCATGCCTGTAGTTCCAGCTACATGGAAGGATGAGGCAGAAGGATCTCCTGAGCCCATCAGGTTGAGGGTACGGTACCTGTGAACGTGCTGTTGCACTCCTGCCTGGGTGACAGAGTGAGATTCCAACTCAAAAAAAAAAAACCAAACAAAATTCAGTCTATTTTCTCTGCTACTTTCAGTCCTTGAGAACAAGGAAAGTATTTATTGACCAAAAACCTCAATCCCTAACATGATTAGGAGATCAAGGTAGATGTTGAGTTGATCAGTATTCCTTAATTTTTCTTCAGGAATCAGATGAATGATTCTTTTAATTTTCCCAAAATATATTACCATACCAAGTTACATGTTCTATGCTTTTGTTTTATTTTGAGTTGGAGTCTCACTCTGTTGCCCAGGCTGGAGTGCAGTGGCACACTCATGCCACTTCAACATCAACCTGCTGGGCTCCAGCAATCCTTCCGCCTCAGCTTTCCAAGTAGCTGGAACTACAGGCATGTGCCCCCATGCCCAACTAATTTTTTTGATTTATTGTAAAGATGAGGTCTCACCAAGTTGCCCAGGCTGATCTCGAACCCATGATCTTAGGCAATCCTCTGACCTTCGCCTCCCAAAGTACTGGAATTATAGGTGTGAGCCAACACTCTGGGCCTGCTTTTATGTTTTAATGAGCCAGGAAGTTAAAAATCATACTGTTCTAAGACTTGTACTTGCATGGATATAAAATATTTACTGTTGCCTGAACCCGTGGGTTCGCGACCCGCCTGGGCAACTTGGCGAGACCTCATCTCTACAATAAATAAAAAAAAATTAGCCGGATGTGGTAGCGCATGCCTATAGTTCCAGCTAGTTGGAAGGCTGAGGCAGAAGGATCACTGGAGCCCAGCAGGTCGAGGCTGCAGTGGGCAGGAGCAGCCACTGCACTCCAGTCTGGGCAACAGTGAGACTCCAACTCAAAAAAAAAAAAAAAAAAAGATTTACTGTTGATATTTCTTTATATGTTATTATTTCTAGGATCTGAAGAAGATGATGAAGTTGTGGCAATGATTAAGGAATTGTTAGATACTAGAATACGGTATGTGCTTCTCTCTTTACCTGAAATCAAAACTGTGGATGCAATTTTTATTATTACAATATACTGTTAGTTATGTATATAGCTATTATATAACTATATAGTTATATAGTATTATAGTAGAGTTTCAAAATAAGTGCAAGTAAATGTAAAGCACGATAGGTAACCATGACAATTGAATTTATTTTTATGTATTTATTTATTCATTCATTCATTCAAAAGACAAGTTCTCTGTGTGTTGCCCAGGCTGGTCCTGAACCTGTGAACCCAGGCAGTCCTCTCGCCTCTACCTCCCAAAGTGCTGGGATTATAGGTGTGAGCCACGGTGTCTGGCTGACAATTGAATTTAAAACCTGTATCTTCTTGGCCGGGTGCGGTGGCTCATACCTGTAGTTCCAGCACTTGGGAGACCAGGGCGAGAGGATTGCCTGAGTCCAGGAGTTTGAGACCAACTTTGGCAACTTGGTGAAACCTCATCTCTATAATAAACCATAAAATTAGTGAGGCACGGTGGCGCGCAACTCTAGTCTTGCTACTTGGAAGGCTGAGGCAGAAGGTTTACCTGAGTCCAGGAGGTCAAGGCTGCAGTGGCTGGCTATGATTGTGCCACTGCACGCGAGCCTGGGCAACAGAGTGAGACTCTGACTCAGTCAGTCAGTCAGTCAATCAAATAAGCAAGCAAGCCTGTATCTTCTCTACATTTTACTCAAAGTTTTAAAACACCCAATCTATTTAAACATAGTCAGTGAAGATATTTATCCTTTGCAATTACTATTTAGGTTAAATATTGTTATAATTTTCTAATTATTCCAAAATTTCTTAGAAATAAAAAAAAGACTTAATAGTATTGGGGAAGATTGTGAAGAGAGAAGGAGTACCTATTTTCAGTATTTTGCCCATCAGGAATAAATTTAAGTGAGTGGAGAACTGCAGGCTTCTACTTGTCTTTGTGACATACCGGTAGTCCTGCTGAGAACGCCTGGGAAAGCTAGATAAAATACAACTAAGGCTGGGCTCAGTGGCTCAGCCTGTAATCCCAGCACTTTGAGAGGCCGAGGCAGGTGGATTGCCTGAGCCCGTGGGTTCGAGACCAGCCTGGGCAATTTGGTGAGACCTCGTCTCTACAATAAATAAAAAATTAGCCGGGTGTGGTAATGAACACCTATATAATTCTGGCTACTTGGAAGGCTGTGGCGGAAGGCTCGCCGGAGCCCAGTGGGTTGACACTGGGGTGGCCATGAGTGTGCCACTTTACTCCAGCCTGGGTGACGGAGTGAGACTTTGACTCAAACAAAAACAAAAACATTTGTTTGAAGGCATTAGATAGCTGCCAAAACAACCAAGATTAGAAGTGCCAAGATCCTGGAGAGAAGAGAAGCTTCACTGATGTTTCCCTTCAGACATTTGCAGATTCTCGGTTTATAAAGCTAGGGTATAAGAAGCTGGGCAGAGGGCAGCTGCTGAGAGTCAGAAATCATTGTGTTTTCAGAAACTTTATTTAGATGGGAAGACAAAAATTAAAATTTTGGGTTCTAGTGTAGTCTTGAAATTAAGAGCCAAAATCTCAGAGAGCAGGGAAGTTAAGAATTAAGTAATCCTGGCCAGGTATGGTGGCTCATGCCTATAATCCCAGCATTTTGGCAGGCCAAGGTAAGAGGATTGCTTGAGCCCAGAAGTTCAAGATAAGCCTAGGCAACATATCAAGACCTCATCTCCACAAAAAATAAAAAACTTAGCCAGGCATGGTGGTGTGCTCCTTTAATCCCAGCTACTTGGGAGGCTGAGTAGGAAGGATACCTTAAGCCCATGAGCTGAGGCTGCATTGAGCTGTGTGACAGTGTGAGATCCCAACTCAAAAAAAAGAAAAATAAGCCTGTATAACTTAATAACAATGTATTATATCCTTCAAGATTGCTAAGAGTAGATTTTGTGTTATTACCACAAAAAATAAGATGTGAAGTAATGTCTATATTAATTAGTTTGATTTAACCATTCCACAGTGTATATATATTTTACAGAATCATGTTGTAAGCCTAACACTCAGATTCTCCCCATAAGCACTTGCTTATTCTTAGCTGTGTAGAGGAAGAGGCTAAGAAGAAAAAGAAAGAGCCAGGCTCGGTGGCTCAGCCTGTAATCCCGCGACTTTGCGAGGCTGAGGTGAGTGGATTGCCTGAGCCTGCGGGTTTGAAACCTGCCTGGGCAGCGAGACCTCATCCCTACAATAAATAAAAAAAAAATCAGCTGGGCATGGTAGCGTGTGCCTGTAGTTCTGGCTACTTGGAAGGCTGAGGTGGAAAGATCGCCGGAGCCCAGCAGGTCGAGGCTGCGGTGACCGGGAGCAGCCACTGCACTCCAGTCTGGACGACAGAGTGAGACTCCAACTCAAAAAAAAAAGAAGAAAAAGAAAGAAAGGAAGAAGGAAAGAAAGAGCAATTGGAAAGCAGAGCAGACTTTTGGCAGTAATATTGCACTAGAATAGAGGACAAAAATTAGAATTTAGTGTCTGTCAAGAAGATTAGGCCTCAAGAAACAACCAGACTCTTTTCCCTGAAGATCTGTATCCTTGAAATGAGGTCAAACTAGAGGTATACCAAGCTTACAAAACTGCATTCCAATATTAAGTCAGTTTAATTCCAGAGTAGATTGTGCTGTTGCCAGAAGACAGTAAAAATCAAGTTGCTTTAGTATTTCATACAGTCTCTATCATTCAGTCAAATATTACTAGGCATACCTAGAAACAAAACCAAGAGAAAATAAAACAGATCCATAGGTAACCTTCATACTAGAGTTATGCGTGGTCTTTAAAATGACTGATTAAGACCAAGCCTGGTGACTCAAGCCTGTGATCCCATCACTTTGGGAGGCCAAGGTGAGGGGACTGCCTGAGCCCACAGGTTCAAGAACAACCCGGGCAACCTAGTGAGATGTCATCTCTAGAATAAATCAAAAAATTAGTCAGGCATAGTAGTGCACATCTGTAGTTCTGGCTACTTGGAAGGCTGAGGCAAAAGGATCACTTGAGCTCAGCAGACTGACGCTGGGGTGGCCATGAGCATGCCACTGCATTCCAGCCTGGGCAACGGAGTAGGACACCAACTCAAAATAAATAAATAAATAACTGATTAAAATACAAAATGGATGACAAGATGAAGAATTTAATCAGACAACTAGAATTTCTGGGAAAATAAGAAACAGTAATTCTGGAACCAAAAAATATCATAACTGAACTTAAGAACTCATTAGATTAGGTTAACATTAGATTGAACATAGTTGAAGAGATTATTATTATTATTTATTTTTTGAGTTGGAGTCTCATTTTGTCTCACAGGCTGGAGTGCAGTGGCATGCTCCTGGCTTCCGCAGCCTTGACCTGTTGGGCTCAGGTGATCCTTTTGCCTCAGCCTTCCAGGTAGCTGAAACTACAGGCATGCACCACCACACCCGGCTAATTTTTTGATTTATTGTAGAGATGAGGTCTTGCCAAGTTGCCTGGGCTGGTCTCAAACCCATGGGCTCAGGCTGTCCTCTCACCTTGACCTCCCAAAGTGCTGGGATCATAAGCATGAGCCACTGTGCCCGGCCAAGAGAAGATTATTATACTGGAATATAGGTTAGTAGAATATATTCAGATTGAAGCATAGAGATAAAAGAGAATAGAAAATACAGGGAAAAAAATACAAGAGACATATAGTACATAGTAAACAAAGTCTTACAGTGTCCTGTAGGGTTTTTAATATAATTAAAATGCATGGCAAAAATATAAACGATGACCACTCCTATTTAACATGGTACTGGAAGTTCTAGCCAGAACAATCAGGCAAGAAATAAATAAAAAATGTACAAACAAGAAAAAAGGAAGTTAAATTATCTCTCTTTGGAGATGATACGAGTCTAGATATAGAAAACCCTAAAAATTCCACCAGAAAACTAGCACTGGTAAGTGACTTCCGTAAAGTCTTGGGACACAAAATCAACACTCAAAAATCAGTTGTACTTCTTTTTTTTTTTTTTGAATCAGTCTCACTCTGTCACCCAGCCTAGAGTGCAGGGCATGCTCACGGCCACCCCAGGGTCGACCTGCTGGGTTTAGGCAATCCTTCTGCCTCAGCCTTCCAAGTAGCCAGAACTATAGGTGCACGCTACCATGCCTGGCTAGTTTTTTAATATATTGTAGAGACAAAGTCTCACTAAGTTGCCCAGGCTGGTCTTGAACCCCTGGGCTCAGGTAGTCCTCTCATCTCGGCCTCCCAAAGTGCTGGGATTACAGACTAGAGCCACCGTGCCTTGCCTATTCAGTTGTATTTCTATACACCAACATTCAAGCTGAGAACCAAATCAAGAACACAATCCCATTTATAATAGCCACACACACAAAAAAACCCCTCTACAACAAAAACTGCAAAATTGGTAAAATAAATCAAAGATGACACAAATGGAAAAACATTCCTTGCTCATGGACTGGAAGAATCAATGTCAAAATGCCAATACTGCCTAAAGCAGTGTATAGATTCAGTGCAAACCCTGTCAAACTATCGGTATCATTTTCACAGATCTAGAAAAAAAATACTTAAATTTATATGGAAACAATAAAAAGCCCAAATAGCCAAAGTAATCCTAAGCAAAAAGAACAAAGCTGGAGGCATCACATTGCCATACTTCAAACTTTACTACAAGGTTACAATAGCCAAAATAGCTTGGTACCAGTACATAGACCAATGGGACAGAATTGAGAACCCAGAAATAAAACTGCTAACATCCAGCCAACTCATCTTTGACAAAGTTGACAAAAACAAACATTGAGGAAAGGACACCCTATTTAACAAGTTGTGCTAGTAAAACTTGCTAACCATATGTAAAAGAATGAAGCTCGACCTCTATCTCATCATATACAAAAATTAACTCAAGGTGGATTAATGACTTAAGCATAAAACCTCAAACTATAAAGGTCCTAAAAGAAAAGTCTAGGAAACACTCTACTAGACATTGGCCTAAGCATTAAATTCGTGATCAATTCCTCAAAAGCAGATGTGGCAAAAACCAAAATTGACAAGTGGGATTTAATTAAACTAAAGAACTTCTGCATAGCAAAAGAAACTGCATCAACAGAGTAAATAGCCTGTAGAATGGGAAAAAATATTTGCAACCTATGCATCCAACAAAGGCCTAACACCCAAAATCTATTAGGCACCCAAATGAATTGACAGGAAATAAAACAATCCCATTAAAGAGTGGGGAAAGGGCCGGGCTCGGTGGCTCAGCCTGTAATCCTGCACTTTGGGAGGCCGAGGTGAGTGGATCGCCTGAGCCCGCAGGTTCAAGACTCGCCTGGGCAACTTGGCAAGACCTCATCTCTACAATAAATCAAAAATCAGCCGGGCGTGGTAGTGCATGCCTGTAATTCCGGCTAGTTGGAAAGTTGAGGCGGAAGGATTGCTGGAGCCCAGCCGGTCGAGGCTGTGGTGGCCGGGACTGCACTCCAGTCTGGGCGACAGAGTGAGACTCCAACTCAAAAAAAAAAAAAAAAAGAGTGGGGAAAGGACATGAACAGACACTTCTTAAAGACATACAAGTAGCCAACAAATATATTTTAAAAATGCTCAACATCACTAGTCTTCAGAGAAATGCAAATCAAAACTTCAATGAGATACCATCTCACGTTAGTTAGAATGGCTGTTAGTAAAAAGTCAAGGCCGGGCGCCGTGGCTTATGCTTATAATCCCAGCACTTTGGGAGGCCAAGATGAGAGGATTGCCTGAGCCCACGAGTGAGAGACCAGCCTGGGCAACTTGGTGAGACCTCATCTCTACAGTAAGTCAAAGAATTAACTGGGCGTGGTGGTACATGCCTATAATCCCAGCTACTTGGAAGGCTGAGGTGGAAGGATCACCTGAGCGCAGCAGGTCGAGGCTGTGGTGGCTGTGAGTGTTCCACGGCACTTCAGCCTGGGTGACAGAGTGAGACTCCAACTCAAAAAAAAAAAAAAGAGCTGATATGCATCAATCTCCTTCTTCTTTCATTCAGAAGAAGTAAATGAGTGTATCTTAGGTAATCAAAATAATTTTTAGGAAATTTGAAATCTTACATGCTTAAAAAGATTGTTAATAAGAAAGATAAAGTCTAATAGAGTATTTGTGTGAATGAATTTTATCTGAAAGTAAAAGCAATTAAAATTACAAATGAGACTTAGCCACAGTTGTTTTAGCCTGACTGGGTTCTTATGCCTGCTGCCCAGAAAAACTGAGACTGACAGCAGCTATTTCAGTAGAGAAAGAGTTTAACATTGCAGAGCAGCTCAATGAGGAGATATTTCTCAAACCCAGCTTCTTGAGACTTTTAGGCTAGGATTTTTAAGGAATAATTTGACAGGGAGGGGTCTAGGGAATGGGCACTGCTGATTGGTTGGGGATGAAGTCGTGAGAGAGTGGTGTCAAAACTGTCTTTGTGCGTGGAACCAGTTTTTGGGAGGGGGGGGTCACAGTACTGGTAGAGTCAGCTCTTTAGAATGTGTCCTGCGTCTGGTTGGGGACACAGATCCATCAGAATGCAAAGTCTGAAAAACATCTGAAACACCATTCTTAGGTTTTGTAATAGAGAGGCCATCTGTAAACAAGTCCCACTACCATCAGCTACTAACTCCTGGCAGTAAACCTTTAAAGAGATAAGGTATGCAGGAGGTGGGTTCCCTGAGATTAAAACTGTTGCTCCTGTGGCTGATCAAACTTTAAGATGCCATCAAGGAGATCTGTGTGACTCCATGCTCTTTGTCTATGGGTAAATATGTTTATTAACCTTGTGGGCATCTTTCCCCCAACCCCCACCCAAGGTCAAGACATGAAGATAATCAATTGCTCTCTATTGAAGTGAAAGCAAACTCAGAAACAATAGAGTTGTTAATTTTTAACCATAACTGCAAGTTTGTAGGGCTTAGGTCTCTTCTGCAGTTTTTACCCTGTGACCCTGTAGATGATTTCACAGTTACTGTTTTTTATTATAAAAGTAACTCTAGCTGGGCGCAGTGGTTCACTCCTGTAATCCTAGCACTTAGGGAGGCAGAGACGAGGGGATTGCCTGAGCCCATGGGCTAATTTATTGTCTAATAAATAAACAAATTAGCTGGGCATGGTGGTGCATGCCTGTATTTCCAGCTACTTGGAAAGCTGAGGCGGAAGGATCACCTGAGCCCAGCAGGTCGAAGCTATGGTGGCTGAGCGAGTCACTACACTCCAGCCTGGGTGACAGAGTGAGACTCTGACTCAAAAAAAAAAAAAAGCAACTCTTACCTTTATGAATATTACCAATATAAAATTTAAGTCCTTGCCTGTATTTAATTTTCTCAGTGAAAATTTCTAGTTTTAAAAATGTATCATAAATATTCTTTGACCACAGGCCAACTGTGCAGGAAGATGGAGGAGACGTAATCTATAAAGGCTTTGAAGATGGCATTGTACAGCTGAAACTTCAAGGTTCTTGTACCAGTTGCCCCAGTTCAATCATTACTTTGAAAAATGGAATTCAGAACATGCTACAGTTTTATATTCCAGAAGTAGAAGGTGTAGAACAGGTATGCCTTACATCCTTATTTTAGATGTAACTTAAATGTTAGGAATGCCTACTGTGTGCCAGGTATTTTTACAAATATTACCTCATTTAATTCTAATAACAGTGCATTAGATAAGTCATTTCTATTTTGTGCACAAGGAAACAGACTCAGAGGGCATACTGCTGCTCTGATTGCAAAAAAATTATGAAAGGAGATTCAAAATGCACAATTTTTTAATAGATGAGATCTAAAAGTCTTTAGTGGAAGAACTCTGATATATTTTTCTACTTGTTCTTAACATTTACCCACTTACTCTTATGCATGCAGGTAGGAAATTCATCGAGAAATCATACTTTGTTATACAGTAAAACAGTACTGGGTAGGATTCTAGAGCTTTATAGCATGACATCAGCATTTTTCTCTGCCAACATACGTAAGGAATATAACACAGCACCTTGAGGAATGTAACACAGCGCTTTCTGATCAGTAGGGGTGACTCTCAGCTGCAGTGATTCTCAACTGAGAAAGGCATGGCTTTATGGAGAGAGATTATCAAGGAAGGAAGAAATGTGTGGGAATAAGAAATTTGAAAAAAAAAAAACTCCTCAGGTAATTCTGTGCCCTTTAAGGGCTCCTTTGAGAATCACTCATCCCTGGGTAGTATTAAAATCCATCTGTTCCATGATGAGCATATCTACGCAGACCTGCCCCCAAAGGCCAAGGGAGCTGAGAGGCTAAAGAAAGAGGCTGACAAAATTCAGTTTCTCAGAAAAAAACAAAAAAATTTAGTAGGGTTTTCCAAATAGAAACCATGTCTTGACTGCAAGATAGTAGATTCCCCACACTGTTAGACCCAAAGCTTATATACTATAGGGAAAAGGTATACATGCTTCAGAATGAATGTGTTGGACAGTTGAAGTCAACCTCTCAGGGAAAGAAAAGAATGCTATGTATGTGCTATAACTTGCTTAAGGGGAGGATTTGTGGTATGTGTTTATGATAATATGAAGGTTGTTTTGACCTAAAGGCAGGATTTAGGTAAGTATGTGGTAATAGTAGATAAAGCAGAAATCGTAGTGATATTCCTGGAACTGGGGTTAGTCAGAGTTAAACATGTCAGATTAACATCAAAGATGCATTTGTTTTAGCTTCCATAACATCCTTTTGGTTCAACACTTGACATCACCTCTTTGAAGTCTTTCTCAGTCCCACACTTGATATTAAGCTCTACTTTGAATGGTTCAAAACTTCTGAGTGTCTGTTGTAGCCTTATGTTTAGGAAGCTGTGTAAGAGACTTGAAATCATATCTAAGTCTTTGTATTCCCCTGCAACAACTAGCCCTGGGTCTAAAAATAGGTGTTGATTGACAACATTTTTTGGATTGGATGTTGCTGAGATTACATATAAAGTATTAATTCCTTGGAGGTAAATAATCTATTTTTACTGAACCTAGACGATACCCTATAGAACAATTGTCCAATAATTGTCCCAGATAAGAACCAGATTCATTTTTAACCAATTTTTGTTCCATTATCCTATATATGCCTTTAAAATTACATTAGTTGACACTCTAGTGGATTGACAAAGGACCATTTTTAGTCACTTGTCCAGGGTGGGGTGATGAGTTGGCCTTCAGATTATAAACTTGACATTTAATTGTTGTGGGTGTGGTGAGGAGAAAAATGTGTTCTTAGTTTTATAAACTCTTTTCATCGCCAAAGAATTTAGTCTTTATTATCTTAGTAATACATTAACTTATAGGAAGATACTAATCTTTTCATTTTTTTCTTCAATTATTTATTAGTATTTCTTTAAGCTGATAGTTGTCACATTTTTCTAAGGTTTAAAGTAATATTTTATCTGAATAAGACCAAAATAATTAGTTCCTAGTATGGTTATTTTGTCTTTTTACTTTTTTTAGGGATTCAGTTTTATAAAAATAAATGTTTTTACAATAACAGTTTGGTGTAGCTTCCCAGAATATATTTAAGTAAATAAGATGCTTTTTTTTAAAAAAAAGACAAGGTCAGGCACGGTGGCTCATGCCTCTAATCTCAGCACTTTGGGAGCCTGAGGTGAGAGGATTGCCTGAACCCCTGGGTTCGAGACCAGCCTGGGCAATTTGGTGAGACTTCATCTCTACAATAAATCAAAAAATTAGCCAGGCGTGGTGGTGCGTGCCTGTAGTTCCAG